GCAGTTTGTGATCATTTCAAGGAGCTGCAACCAAATAATTTTTAATGACTCATTATTTTCCATTCTTTAAATGTCACTTTGAAATTAGCATATTGGAGTCACATTTTGCGCACTGCCAGGAAACCAAAGCAATAAGCCGTCATTCAGAAAACACTCCAAAATTAGTTCAAATTCACCTCTGCATTCAAGCGCCATTCATCGCTCTTTTTGCTCAAATTGGTATCGCTTATGCACAGTGGTAGTCCTTCGAAAACTTTAAAATGAATTTATATTAACTATTACTTCATGCACAGAAAACTTCTCAATATTTAATTAAGATCAAACTGGCAAGGGAATGTATCAAACCAACAGACGAAATTAACACATAGTTCAGAACAATATATCTCAGCTGTAGAACTGTGGGTACCGTCATTTTTCAAAGGGCAAATTAACTCGCATTTAATAGCAAGGTAACTGAAAGGTCATTGACACTTCAGTTTAATTTTATTCACTTCCGACGTGGTAATCATGCTGTCCATGAAAACGAGAGGCACTTAAACTTTTCATATCCAGCTTGCCATAGAGAAGCAGCCCTTCCTAAGTTAATAAACCAAAATACAGCAATAAAAAGTCTTTTGCAGGAAAATGTCAAATCTGATAATGAAGATTACTTGGTGTGATAAATAATTACACATGCTTTACACGTCATTTATTCACCTACATATTATTAACTGTAAAGGATTCCTTAGAAGCATTAAGATCTCAAATCTGCACTAAATAAGAGTCAGTCATCTAAAATTCCAAACCAAAATGTTAAACTGATTGTTTACAACTACTGAACACACTAAAGCATGCAAACTCCCCACAGAACCTAGGACCCAAGAGCTAGGAGACAATAGTGATATATGGTTTGCCACCATGTCACCCTGTCAAAATACTGTACATAAATGCACATACAGCATATGTTTGGTTAGTTTGGTTGTTGTTATTTAAAACAAAGGAAACAATTCTAGCAGCTTACATAATGTTTATGAACAGTGGAACATAACAAGAAGTTATAAATCAAGAAGGACATACAAAATGAAAGGCTTTTGCACTGTGGAATTATGGGTTATTCAAACTGTCAAGTAGCTCTTGATTAAGATAAATGGCAATATTCTAACAGCATGTATCTCTTATGACAACCAGGTATGATATAGTTCTCATCAACTTTCTGTACCAATTTGTACTTTAGCTCTGTCATGTTGACTTCATGAGTTATATCTATGCATTTTTCATCAAAGAAATGCATGATGGTTATTTCTGCAAACTGACTAGATAATTCACTTTCTGACTTCAACTATTATCTCCCCCAGAAATTGAAGTACCCTGTTGTAAAAGAGATGTGTTCATCTCTGCAGTGCCCAAAGCAGTTACAAAAGAGAGAAAACAATCAAAAAGGTGAAGTATACAGTATACTCAGTACCTGTCTGCTTTCTCAGCTCTGAGTTCTATATACAAGGTCAAACAAAATATTAAACTCTCAAGATTGTGATACCATTCAGATTGCTAACCCTGAGTGCAACAAAAAAGCTAACAAGTGCAGAACTGTTAGGTCAGTTTCAGTTTTGCCCTTTGCAGAACATAATGTAGTTTTCTCCAGCAATGCCCCTTGGTTTGGAACTCTAATCATGCTTTTGTAGGCCTGACGTTTGATTTTACATTGACAAAGTCAAATACAGCACATTCAGTCAGTAGCCACTGACTAAAATACTGTGTGAGCAATGTATAGGCAGTGTTGTGTCCCCTGAAGCACAGTACAGATTTCTATTATCCTAATTCTCAGCTTGTACACAATAATACAAAAAAGAACTGAATGTGGTCCATTTAACTTTAGCAACAAGGGTTGGGGAGTCATTTTGTTGAAGATGATACCCTAGCGTCTTTCCAAAAATGGTTCAATGCAATCCTCCGATCACTTTGCTACCAGCAACGAAATGACTTTTATGGGCGGAATGGCCTCCTCTCATTGGTAATACTTCTTATGTTTTTAGAAATGTTAAATGTGCACAGAAGGACATAGAATGACAGCTATGTACTGAAGAGTTAAAAGACAGCAGATAGCATAAGCAGAGCGTAGAAAAAGTCTATTATACATGGCAGATTGTATCAAAAGGACAAATGTCCTGATATCTGTGGGCTCAAAAGAAGAGTAGACAGCAGATTGCCATCACCTGACATGCGTATGTCAGGCATCTTATTCCACTTTATTTATGGAGATGTCTGCTCAAATTCCGCTTCCCAGTGCCACATCGCTTCACTGAAATATCAATACATTTTAAGTACCTTTTTAGCCGCTGAATCGTTACGTTAACAATTTAAACTTAGTTTGAAAATGAGGGTTTAAATAATTGTGCACCTTAGGGATTCCTGACATAGAAATGCTCTGTTGTTGCACATTTTGCCACCAGGATTTTGGGGGTCAACACGGAAACGGCACAGCTGTTTAAAGAAGACGGGGGGCTGAGTTTTAATCTGGTTACAAAGCTTCTTTTGTCTATTATTAATCTGCACAGATTTCGTGATCGATTGTTTAATGTTATAGATTAATTAGTCATAATCTCCGTTTAAATGGGTGTGTCATTTTCTGAAGATTTCAGCGTTGTGTATAAATATGTAAATGACTTCAGCTCAATTAAGTTCTCATGACCAATATGACCGCTATTAATCTTTAAGAGGGACACTAATTACTCAAAATCAGTGAAGTTATGCTTTTTAAAAAAAAAACATCTTTACCACCCATCATGCTAAAATAAACAATATGCTTCAACACCTTTGATTGTGTTGTGCTTTTTATCTAAGGGGATTCATTAATTTGTGAAAGAAGCACAGAATAGATTAATCACATTGTTCATATCCCACAGGTTTTAAATGTTGTTAAAACACAACTTGTGATGGAATATAGAATTGAACAGAATATATTTAACACATCTATTAGCAGTACCTCTCAAATGGCATATGCAGAGATGCAGAAGTAAACGCACCTTATGCAGAAGATTTTATTACGGCACCTACTGTAGATGACTAGAAACACTAGCAAAAACATCCACAAGAAATGCAATGCCTTCACAATTGCCTGAGAAAGAATCTTCATCCACTATTAAGCAATGGACTACTTTGATAATGCATTAAAATGTAATGAAGGTACTGTTTGTACAGAATGTGGAAATTGAATCATATTTTTAACTTTATGAAGGATGGAAGAGTGTTATAGTTTTACAATGTCTAAACCACTTCTACCTAAAAGTAGTGTAACAAAGAACAAAACTTGGTATTATGCACTTTTCAAAATGTTTTGAACATTTCATTTTCTTTAAGATTATAAAATGAAATTATTTTATTCAGATCCCACCTTACAGGCATTCCAGATTTTCAAAAAAGATGATCGAAATATAATATATATCATCATATAAAATAAACCCTATCTGCGAAATTCTGTACTGCAAATGTTTCAGTGCAAAGAAATACAGCCTAATATATAAAATATGTGCGTATGATGAAACCCGGCTTCACAGTGGTATGGTAGGTTAAAAAAAAAAGAATAGTGGCAATAATCCCTTTGAATTGATCTCAAGAGACAGTTTACAGACTTTGACTGTCTAAAATCGATAGATGTAAAATGTGCCTTACGTCACTCCAATTACGCAATGATCTCCATACACTTAACCTACAGACTCATTTGTCATTATGTCTGGTACATCACAAACCATATATCTAGCCTCTTTTCTAGATACATTCTGATTGTTATTTGATACTTAGTCATCCAGTATGATGCAGCTGCTCGTTATGACGCCTGTCACATTCCGTTAAATACCCAAGCTCGTTTGTGCATATTGGATCCCCTTCTCTAGTAACAGTGTTGGCCTTGGATCTATTTCAATGCAATCATGCTTTCATTACATTTGCAGCTGTAATGGTGGAACCTCAAAGTTTTGAAGCAGCCCTAAACGTGACACGACCAAGTTTCTCACTGTACTGTCTACACTCCATATACTGTAAAATGTGTTTTAAGCACGCTTTACTCTTATTCATTTATTTTTTGTAGGTCATCAGAATGGTCGAATCGTTAATTATTAATCTTCAAGTAAACTCTAAATCGCCGCCCAGTACATAACTAAAAGCATGGCAAAACTCTTTTTTGAACATTTGTATAGGGATGTACTGTAAGAAGAGCCATTTATTGCTGTTCATGTCAAAAGGCGGACTCTGGCGGCAGCTGGTTCTGCTGTAGGTTGTAGAAAGTACTGAAACACCAGTAGGTAGAAACACGTTTCATTCTTGATTCAAAGCACTTGAAAAATTAACACGAACAGAGTGCAATTGCTTTTGAAACTGGGTAGATTGTTGTGAAAGGAAATAGAATGGATTTGGAAAGTGTGTCGATCGCAGTGATTCAGTTTTAAATATGCCCAACGATAATTACTAACACACCTGCCTGTTTAAAGTGTGCTACACTGTTTATCTGAAACATAGAATCATAATGGTATAGTCATTTATAAGATACAGCCTCTTCCAACGCCCTTGGACGAGTTTTCTCAGAAATCTGCTCGTCTAAGAAAATAGTTCTCAAATGAAGTCAAACAGCGATCTCTGCTGGGGTATATGTTCTAAAGCATATTCTCAAATATATACTTGGAGGGCGAAACTGACATAAAACAAGGGTGTATAACGTTTATGGATATAAATCTATATTTTTAGCATTTCTGATGTTAATGCTATGTTGCAGATTGAATCATACGCTTGCACAGTTTAACACGGTAAGGAGCGGGTTTGAAATTGACAGCTCACTAAAACCGCTAGGATTGCACGGTTATTTTATATCGATACGTTAAAACAATAAATCCAAGAGCTAGATAGAACATCAAGCAGATTTCCTCGCACAGAAAATAGTATACTGTCTTTTCTACGGCACTGGCGAATACTAAATAAGCAACTGGATCGCACCCCTCAGCTGCAACATTACGAAGATTTTTCTGCCTTACCTTTTTAAATCAGGGGCGCAGGAGTTCGCAGGTGTCTCCGGATCCAAATCTGGGGCTCTCAGTGTCACTTCGAACCCCAGAAAATACTCAAGGAAGGCAGCAAATTTCTAGCAGAAAATCCAGGGTTGCTCTCGGCCTGAGAAGAGGGCTGCAGCTCCTCACTGCGTCAAGCAGGAAACTCAAAGATCCATTAAACAGAAGGTGATTAATTCAAGGCAAAACCCTGATTGAAAGCTCTGTTGCTCCTCGCCTTTATTTATTTCGAACAGCTTCGGAGTCGGGACTTTCCATCACGCACCGGCAGGACGTTTTTGTCTAGAGGATCGGGGGTGACACCACATTTTAATCGTTTTCAGTGGTTTATTATTCTGTTTTCTGTTCTAAAGCTGAATGGGGAACTAGACGGCAAACGCATGTTGATCCTGAAGTCTGCTTGGACGTGAAGTTAAATCTCATAATCAGATTGTTTGACATTGACAGTCTATAAATGGTGTAAGTTCAGCACAGATCCTTGGAAGGTAATTCCAAATCCCTCTGTCAGTGTGTAGCGTAAGACAAATCTTTACGTCTGTAAAGAAAAAAAACCCGAAAGGCAGCAACATCCGAATAAACCCTTATTGCTCGTATTTCGCGGATTTTATTACAGCAATCAGTTCCTTGTGCTTCAGCTTTTACAATCACTTTGCTGTCAGAGTTGCTCTCACAGTCAAATTTCAGCTAGAGCTTTATCTCGAAGTATGTTTAATACACTGCTTGAGATACACAGCACCCCGATTCCAGAATGATTTCATACGAACGCAAGCGAAGTATGATAATCTAAACAGACAACCAGGTACTGTAGGATCATGACTAAAAGTGTTCAGTGCAGTTGGTCAGAAATGACACTAAATTAAAGTAAATGATCGATATGCACAATAACATACTTATAACGAACGTGAACTACAGTCAAATGGGTAATAGAAAAACTGGTTCTATCCATTCGTAGACAACGCCTGTGTATGCTTATCCATCTCCTTCCCTGTCTACATACTCTACATCCTGTAGCCGAAAAGAAACGTGAAAACGTATCAATGGAATCGTTTTTATCAAGCTGCGATAGCAATATCAATATAAATCTGATTTGATGCACTTACTGACAGTCAACATCAGCGTTTCACCATGACTTCTTGCACTGGCAGAATAATATATTCAGCGTGACAAAGAGCGTCTGTTTTAGTGTGCAAGGTGTTGTTCTAAAATTCCCAAACAATGCGATAGCTTTGGGAAGGTATTTTCCACCATTTGGATGAATATGACATTTAGGTTCAAAGACGAATGTAGTATTAAGCAGGTTTCCAGCAAGGATAGGCATGAACTACATACAGTATGCCGGCATTGCAGGCTATATCTTTAGGTAAAAATTAAATTTTTAATTCAGAAGAGGAAACTGGAAGAGGACAGAACTGATATCCTATATATGCAACATGCAGTACAGTATATTTATCAAAACAGAAAAGGGTCTTCAGAAATTACAAGGATTGCTCATTGTTTACATCTTGCAGATAAATTAGTAAGCCAATGCTCTTACTTAACACGTCAAATAAATCATTACGTTAACATGAGAAGTTAAATGGAATGCAATACATTAAGCAAAACCATCTTCCCATTTAATATGAAAACCAACATGGGTGATATTCATTTGACAACATACAGTACACAACATTAAACATCTTTCATACTGCACTCAGTGTATAAAGCTGCATAATCACTCTGACGGTTGAAAATCACAGGGGATTATTATGGCCTAACTCCACTTGTCTGAGACGCCAGTAAGAGGGATTTTATCGGTTAATGGTTTGTTTCAGGTGTCTGATATCGCAACAAATACTTCACACAAAATTAAACACAATTATGAACCTAAAGCAATGATGCACTGGTGGTGATGATAGAATATACTACAGTATACTGTACAACTCTTAGACTTCAGCACACATCACTAATGCTTTCATGGCACTCACGAAAACATCTCGCATTGCTCATGGTACCGTCCCAACAAAGACCCCCCACCTGAGTACAAGCTACATGTACAGAGTGAGTTATGAAGTTTGGTTTTCACACAACAAAAGCTTCTGTCCATGCCTGTCTACAACCAACATTTACAATGGAAATTCTGGTCGATCAGGCACATTGAGACATGTTATAAAAGGAACAAGGGAACACACCTAGTTCTTTTGTTTTAAATAAGCTTAATTAGAAATGGACGTCCCGCAGCTTCTCAATACAGTATGTGTTTTTTTTCCTCTCTAGTGTATGTTTTCTAAAATGCAACATTTCTAGGGGGCCTGGAAAAGGAAAAGCTGTCTGACAAACACACAGACCACAACCAGCAGTGCTTACAAGGTGTAAATGGATGAAATAATTCATGTTTTCACTCATCATTTAAAAATAGCTTATAACAGTTCCATGTGCATATACTGTAGTTTTGATTTAATTATATAGCCCATAGGAAACTATATCAACTATGTAAGTTGAATTAATTAAAATGGCTAAATCTGTTCTCCGTACAGATCAAATATAGACCTAAGAGTGATGTCTCAGTTTTTCTTTGAATACATTTGCTCTAATTTTCTCTCGACTTTAACTTTTTTGCCATTTTAAAGAACATAGTACTTGGTATACAGTATAAAACCCTTATGGAAAAAATAGATTGTATAAAGAAAAAGTATTTTATTTGTAATGAATATATATTAAGTTTAAAAATGAAGAAATGTATAGTATAAAATATTTCCAACTAAAAGTATTAACACATAATAGTGACCTGAGTTATCGGTTAAGGACATCATCCTATCTCTTCTCAAAGGTGTGTTACATATTGCCACAGGACTAACAATAATACTCTTACCAACTTTGGAGAATGAGGGTATAGACAAAAAGCTTTAGGCAACAATCAAATTACTATTTTCTACAAAGGGCAGACGGTCACCTTTTCTGAAATAGCTGCAAAATCATCTTTGTTTTTTCCATTCCGTTTTTTATTTAAAAAATAATGGGATATGTGTTTTACATTTATATTAGATTCTATTGTTTTTAGTTTTTAGGAATTTAATGTACAAGCATTTTTACTACCAGTCATATAAATGAAGGAAAAAAATTCCATTTTAGTGATTACTACAAATACGCAGGATAACCGATTGACTTTAATGACAGTGTTATAACCACAAGTTAATGGAAACATTCATATTGTTTTAGCGTCTACTGTCATATTAGTATCATAAATTCGAGGAGGCTATATTGTGTAATTAAAGTGCGACCCACGAAGTGATCAATGGTAGCTTCAATAATAGGAAATAAAGCTCATTACAATGTGGTGAATGCATAATCATTAAAAAATATACAGGTACAGTATAATGTTATTGAAAATACTGAAGTAAAATGTGATTAATGGTAGTAAATCACCACTGGCACATTTCTGGTCTTCCATAATTTCCTAAAAATAAGTACAATTAAACAATACAAGTGTTATACTATAAATGTATGGTGCACCAGTGGGTTTTTCATTTATAATTTTATGACACAACTTAACTGAAAAAACACCGGCTTCGTTCAGTCCTTCCCAGTTTCTACCCCAGTAGCAACATAAATAGTGATACATTTAAGAGGAGTCCAGCTGGTCCATATCGCACACTGGATTTCTGGTACCTAATTTTATAATAATAATATTCATGCCTTTTCTTGATGAACTATCTTCAACCACTGTAAATAGACTAGCACCTACAGACCTAAAGGAACCTAGACACCCATGCCTGTCTGTGTACAAATGCCACCAAGTTTCAGTCCTAGTAATAAGAGTGCTAATCTAAAATCTCAGGTCTTTGTTTCACTCCTGTATTGGTGGATGTGCACTGCTGGGGGACAATGTTTTCAGAATCTTTGCTGATTGTGAATAGTTGATTCAAACTGCCTCACGTTTCCATTCCTTCTTGCTTTCCCGAACAAAATGGCATCAATAATTTAGCCTTGCAGAAGGAAACTATCTGATTTGAAATGTTTTCAGCCCTGTGTAACAGTAAATAAAAAGCAATCTGATGTCTAAGTAAAAGATAAAAAGCAATTACCTATTGCACCGGTAAAGGACTATCTAAAGATAGATCCACTCCAGGATGAGGATGAGGATGTTTTAACATACTTGCATTGAACCTTATTAACTTGGGTAAATGTATCAATTTATTTGCAATATTTAATGGTGTAAAATCTAATGGCAGAAACTGACTTTATGGAGACAAAGGAAAGCAGGTCAATAGGTGGAGCGCTGGAGGTGATTTATTCAAATCCCCCATTTCTTTGCTAAGCCTATTAGCCATTGAAGAGAGAGAGAGGGGCGCAGGTTGTGTGTTGGTAGTTATTATTCAGAAGGGTAGATTGTGAGTGGCAGTTGGTGTAATGGAGCTCCTGCTGACACTGAATTTTAAAGATCCAACTTAACATCTGGACTGTGGGATTAACCCTTCCAACATCTATCCTGTTTGCGGCTTAAAGTCGAGATTCCTTTGCCTGCCTGTCTCGGATTATTTCAGAGTTCTGCTTCAACTCAGGTGTCTCACACCGTTCAGAGCTGTGTTGTAGAAAGTACCAAAGCACTATGCATTTGAGTTGAGTTGTGCAACTATTGTGTTCAACAGACTGTTACAGCTCATTGCATTATCAATACAGGCTGCATCATTCTAAACTTTATAGGAACAAATGGAAAGGCAGTGAAAATAGCATTTAAATGGCAACTGAATTTTACCTTTTGTTTTATTAAGTAAGCCAAGGAAAATGTATTTAAGTTTGGGGTGTGGAGTTTGGAATGAACCATATCTAGCTCCTTGATGTTGTCTCCCCACCAAACAGCATAAACAATGAAACCTACTGCATTTGTTAGTGCTGTGTTTATGCTGTTCAAAGTACCATCCCAGCTCCTTTCCTTCCCGAAATATAGCACCTTCTTTTTCAGGTAATCACTCAACCATGCTCAGCTTTTTCAGTGCATTTGTGTGAATGGGAAAATTAAGTTTGTCTCCAAAATCACACCGTAATCAGAGAGTATATATAAGAGTTACAGGTTTAGCCCTGTTAGAGAGTGAGCATTATCAAACAATTGCACATTCTTAAAAAAGGCTTTAACCAGCCATTCTTAATACTTTGTAGTTGTCAATATTGTTTAAATGAGAAAAAGTAATCTGTTTACCATTGTGTCCATTTTCAAGGAAAATCAAGGGTCATTTAATAATTCCACCCAAATTAGCAACTTGCCGCATTACAAAGCCATTGTTGTACTACTTTATTCAGAAAAAATGCAAATATGAAATAGAACCAGGAAGTAGTTTTTTTAAAGTGGAACTGCACTAAATTGACTAGAATAGCACTGGAACCTCCTACCATCTCCCCCATGCAGACCTCAAATATTCCTCCCACAAAGTATATCCAAGTTTAAAAAAAAAAACATCTTTATCAATGTTGGTATTGATTAAGTAACCTTAGTTGAATATTTGAAATGGGATTTCAGTTCAATTCAAAATACTATTATCATCAATAGTAAAAGTGAGAATCACCTTTACTCCAGAACACCATCCTTTTAGCTTTCTACACAAAACCCTCTGCAATTAACATGGGGTTCTCATATTATGCCTTTATTTCCAGGAGTCAAGCTGCAAGCAGGACAAGAGCTCATGGCTGGAGCTGCTCTTCCAGATAATTCTTGTCTGACCAAGTCTGGAGAAGAGCAATATTCACTTAGAGGGGCCTGTGATATTAAACAAATGCAACTGTCTCCAAAGAATTTTTACCAATAGAAATTGTGTTATGAAGCAGTTGCTTGTCCACAGGGTGCATGCCTTTGTGTACAGTCAAGCAACAGGTGGAGTTTAACAGGCAAGAAGCTTGTACAACAACTGCCATGGCTAACGATGAAGTACTGTAACCTACAGTAAATTTATGATTGACAGCCAGTCTGAGCAGCCGGCACCTGCACAGGAAACACATGTAGGCTCAATAAAGAAACAGGAGGATGATCGCCTGTTAGATGCACTCTTCCTACATAAAGTGACCCCACCAAGATACCTAAACAATTTAGTTTAAGAAACAATCCAAGAACACTAGTTTATTACAAAACGAAACGGTACAGGCGTAACCCGGCGGCTATTATCCAGACGCTCCGGCGGTCCGCAATCTGGAGCCCCGGGAAGGAAACGCTCCAGTCAGGACAGCCGGCCGAAGAGACGGTGGGCACCTGGGACCGCGAGGTGAGTCCGGTTGCTCTGTGGGAGCAACTGCTGCTGCTTGAACAGGGGAGAAAAAGCGTTTTTAATATATAGTCGCAAGTTCTGGTCTCTCGCATGAACCTATACAAAAAGGTAGCACCACATTTGAAAGGCAAAAATAAGGTTTATTCGCCGGGAGGTGTTCAACGGAGCAAAACCGTGTTTTACCCGTACTGACCATTTCCCCGTGGAATTTCCCCCACCCTCAGATTAAGTGAGCGCAGCTGTGGGCTTCTTCACAATCTACTGCTTTGCTATACTGAGAAAAGTCAGTTAGTATCTGGGATTTCTCCGACTAAAACATAAAGCTTTCTTTAAACCCGAAAGCAAGAGGCTCTCTAAGTAGAGTGGAGACCGGTTGGATTCTCACCTTCGAACTGACCGCTCATCTGTCCAGTTTCACACCACACGGGAGCTCTGCGCTTCGGCGTCCAGGCTGTTGTAGAGGACAGGAAGGCCGGGGAGCTGGAGAGGAGGAACAAGGGAATAAGACACCTGCTGGAACGCCACTAACAGACCTGAGCAAGCACTAAAGATACAGGTAGCCATTTTAAATAGCAGCAACATTGATCCGTTCCATTTCGCCTGTTACAAAAAAAAAAAAGAAAGTTACTGGTTTAGTTTGAATTCAACTTTTCTTTACAAGACAGAAGGCCTTTTCTAAAATACAGTTACTGGCCGTCTTCTTAACTATTCTGAAGCTCTGATGCCTTTTCTCGTTTCGAACTGTTCCTATCTAAATAGGTAGAAACCGTGTCCGATATTCTGTTTCCCAAATGAAGTGAAACATCCCGGGAATATTTTCCCTCTTGCTGCAAAGCCGGTATTTAAGGACAAAGACGCAATACTGCTGCCAGAGGAATTTTTAAAGGAGACTAATTGAAGGCGGATAAAGATTAATCACACCTGCCTCTGGACTGTTAATTAATCAGAAATGTGTAAAACATGGACTTGATCCTGGAGTTGGCATGGATCCCTCAGTCTTTCCGACACAAGTAACTGGAGTCAATCCCATTCCATACTTTTAACTACACCGCTGATGAAATAACCTTATTGAAACTTTAATTGAGGATTTACGATTTGTTTGCAGTTTAATTCAAAATACAATATTCATCCCCATCTATCATCAATAGTAAAAGTTAGAAGTTAGCGACACCCTTGCGC